GTATCTAGAGAAACACTGCAATAGACAAACTTAATTGCATCACGTAAGGCAAAAGTCAAACAGGTATCCAGGATATTAAAAACACTTTCTGGAAAACTTATAAAATACTCAAACCGTTGCAAAATTGAAGATTTTTTTCTTTAGATTTCCCACTTGCCACCCTCCAGCTTGACAGTTTGGTATTTACACAATGAGGAGTTGATGAGAGAATTATAAGACAAAATTGAACGACACCTCTTCTTAGATGTATGCATCTGATTTGGGCTGACAGCACTACAGGGAAGGCATTTGGATGGCTGGAACCGGCTGCTGTCATTTATGGAGTTTATTTTTTTTATACCTTCATTTACCTCGGGTTATTCTTCACTTAGATCTTCAGCACATTTTCCTGATGGTCTGTGAGAACCTTTCTGCATTTGCCTCCTTCTCTTTTAAAAGGTGTCAGGCACTGTAGATCAGAAATTCTTCCTTCAGGAAATCTTAGTTCACTGTAGAATAATTTATCCCTGCTACAGAGGAGTTAAGAGTGTTTTATTTATGTTTCGGTTAGGCAGAGAAATAGGAGTACTGCTTAAACAAGTTAAAAAAAAAAAAGGTAAGGTGGGTCACAATAATATCTCCAGAAGGATGAGAAAAAAATGAATAGGGTCACTTCCAGCAGATGTAGGAGGAATAGAAGAAAGCCATCAGGACTCTACAAGAAGGAGACAACATAGGACTGGGCTGCTACTTGTCTCCTGTACATCTACACAGACATTCTGCTTTTCCACCAAAATCTTGAGTCCAAAATATTTTGGGTTCTCAAATTCTTTATCAAGGACAGCAGGCCAACATTAAGGCAAGTTTTTTTGACTTTTCTCTATAAATAAAATAGTCCACACAACAGTTTGGTGCAATTCTGTATGCCATTTAAACATTACATGCTATACCGTTCCAGCTTGTTTGTAAGAGGAAAAAGCAGGTAATGAGTTTTCTGCATGCAAGAGCAATCACAGTGCCCAGTATCTGAAAACATGGGAATGTATGAGGATATCAGCAATTAACATTTCCCTAGGCATTTATTTTTTCTTGGAGGCTTTTTCTTTCATCTCCATGGCAAAGTCTTTCGTGGTGCTCCAAGAACAAATTGTCTTCCAGGCCCCCAGTATATATTTCAGCAAGTTCTGCATGCTGAATAAAGACATTCCAGTGGTTGAAGGCTGTCAATGCAAAACTCGTCAGTGGTAGCTAAACAACAAATATAATATAATTAATGTAAATAGCTGTACTATCATTTGAAAAAACTGATAGAACAAGTGAAAAATTCAGGGGGCAAATTAAAAAAGTGCAACTTCTGGGGAAAAATAAGAATACCTTTCAAAGGGATGATGTTTTAAACAAGAATGCTGATATACTGAGTCACAAGCGAGCTTTCAAGGGGAAAAAAAAAATCTTTCTGGGGAAAAGTTTAAGAAAGATTTTTCTGCATTTATTTGATGACACAAAAATGTTGGTTTGCCTTTTTTTTTTAAATAACTGAAAAATGAATCTGCTCAAGCAAAAAAAAAAAAATTACCTAAAAGGTAGTATCTAGAATACCTAACTTGTGTGTAAAGTCTCCTGTTACAACTTCAGATACATATTTCTCGTTTTCATCAGTATTTAGTTCTGGATGTTTGTGATTCTAGAAATGTGTTTGGCTGGGCCATATTAAATCTATCACAGTTGAGTGTTCCTTCCTCCTTTCACAGCTCTGAGAAAGTGGCATCTACCAGTCTTGCAGATGAGGAGATGAGAAAGCTTCAAATATGTCCCTTCCAAATATTGGGAAGCTTCGTTCTGCAAGAACTTCCTAGGATCTAGCAGGTCACGAATGAGACAGTAGGTCCAAATTATCACCAGGCCACAGCTGCTGCAAAGGTTGCCACTGTGTAACATGCTCTCCAGCTGCCTGCTGAACCCAAGACGTGGTCCTAGGAAATTGCAATCGTTGCCTCTGCCAGGTTCTTGAATCCCTTAAACAAACTGTGACGCAAAGGCTCTGAGACCGGGTATTCCCAGAATCACTGAAATACCACAGTAGTTCAGAACTAGACTTGTATCTCTGACGTGCTGCTGACCAGTGAGAATTAGGAACAGGAGTGGGGTACAACGTAAGCCCATATCCACTGGAGCCATGAATACAATTCTCCTCCGTACACTGAAATAAACTGAGCTTTAAAAGTGTTCCTCTGGCAGACTTTTCTGTGTCAAAACAGCAGCAGCAGAAGATGGCTTAAGTTAAGGGTATAAGTAACGAGGGTTGTCATAGCGAAGTTTTATGACAGACTGAAACAAAGCATCTTTTGAAAAACTCGTAATTTTCTTTATTACCCAGTCTACTCCTCCACACCTTTACTCTGACAAAGTACAAGGAATTCAACTTCTCCGTAACAGCGATTGTCATAATTAATGTAGTCATCTCCTTTTCATTCACTTTTCCCATCGCCTTTATACCTTGTTACTGCTGTTTTCCCCTTCCTCTCCCTCTCCAGCTCCTTGTAGGTCTTTCAGAAACCACACAGTCCTTAACAAACCTATCTGTAGAACGAATAACCCCGCACGTGCCAACTATCCGTCTCTAGCCACTTCTCATAACATACGAGTCACAGTCACACTTTTTTTTTTAAATTATGATCAAAATAAAGAAAAGCAGAATAAAAGATTTAAACATGTTTTACACAGTAATAAGCTTCAGGATAAAATGACCTGCTAGCACTATGAAGATGGTACAGATTGAATAGCAAAGCATTGCTGTCTGGCTTGATACTTGGAACTGGTTTCAATACGAGTTGCTGCAGATACCCAGCAGCACCTTGGGGAATATGGGACAACTATTAAGCTGCATACAGTACAAAAAACACTTCCCCATCTCACTATCACTACCTTTAAATTCAAATTATTCTTTGTATCTTCTTTCCAAGGCATCACAGTAAGCACTGGGTCATTCCATGCTTGCTTGAGAATGTTGGCAAATAGCAGTTAATAAGCCTGGGGGACATGAAAGCATTTTAATGAGATCATCTACTTGGAAAGGGAAGGAGAATCTGTAATATTGTAATTATACTTAAAGTGATGCTTTCATGATCCACTATAAAACTGAATCATAAATTTTCCCTGTGATACCAAAAAGCATTGTTTTCTTATCTGAATTTGGGATATAAGGAAGAAAAACGTCTTTGGTTACAAACAAGCTTTGTGTTTTCAAACTAGAGCACGTTTCCCTCATTTTCACTGTATGCTTCAGGCATGACAGAGGTGGCTTATTACGCTACTATAGCTTAAGGGATGGAGGGCAGTATTTGTCCTGGCAGTACACAGTCTACATTTGCAGTAAGGATGATGCCTCAATCACATCTGCCCATCAGAGAAACTTAAGAACACACAACCCAACCCTTATATTTGCATTTTTGTCATTAAAACATCAGCTACTAAAATCTAAAGAGCCAGGCATATCTGTTCCCAAACACAGCCCACACAATCCAGTTCGGTCGCAACCCATAGTTGACTAACGAGCACCACTATCTCTGCAAGCATCAGCTCAGGACAGACTAAACAAGTTGAGTATGTGGGAGTTGCGAGAGAACCTCTAGCCTTACCCATACTTCCTACTCTTGCAGTAGTTCGGGGGAAGAAAATCAAGAGGGAGGAATGAAAAGCTGTTTGATGAGGAAGATGAAAATGACCACCACTGTATCCCTCTCAACTCCTTCCAGCAAGCTCAGTCAGATACGCAGAGCCAGATCTATAGCAATATGCAGGAACGTCACAGCCTGTTCCTTCTCACCCTTGCACATCTGCACCAGTCCCTTTGGAAATTGTGGCAACTGCAGCACCAGCCTCCAAAGCCCTGCGCTCCTCAGCTCCGGCACTGCCCATGCCCAGCCCAAGGCTTGCTGACACAAGCCCCAAAGTCTGTCACACATGGACTCATGATGGGGCCACCACCGGGCTGCCACCACCATGCAGCGGCACAAGCAGATGTATCCCACAGAAGAGGGCAGGGGCCTGCGCCAGGCTGCAGAGAGGGGAGGATCAGCCGCGACTCCACTAACAAACCAAAGCTCGACTGCAGCCACTACAGTGCCACACAAAAACTGGTGCTGCTTAATGCAATCTTTTTGATGCCAAAGGTACAGAAAAAGAAATCGCTGGTGTAATAGGAATGAAGACTAGTTGCTCATTGTTTTGAACAGGCTTCCTTTTGAAAGGACTCTGTTGAAAGCCAAGGAAAATAGAAAAGAGAGAAGAGAAAAAACAGGAGACAAGCAAAGGCCAGTTAGTCAGACACTGGAAGGAAGGAATGGGCACTCTGTATCATCCTCCTTTTGTTAAAGAGAAGACTTGACACATTGTTTCAGTACCTCTTACCTGGGAAATCAACATTAAAAATATTAACATTCAAAAAATACACAGTGCTCATTAGCAGGAAATTACATAACGATAAGAAATTACTTAGACCACCATTAAAATTTGCTGATTCTATCCAGAATTGTTAAGACATTCCCAAGCGTTTCTGAAAACTAGGATCAAATGCTACAGTCCCAACTAATTAAATAGTACAAAATTCTGTTTCCCTTACATGAGTTATCAGTTTAGTACTCCGACCATCACAGGTTTGTTAGGAAAGTTAACGATCAAAACCTTTGGTTACTTCAGCAAGAGCAACTACTACCAGCAAAGGCATGCTTCACACCTGATGAGTAACTTCTTAACAATAGGGAGCTCTGGCACAGGAAGAGAAAAATGCAGAAAAGTCAAAACGCTAATTAAATTTAGTAAAGCTTATAATGGAATGTGCTGTATGTTTAAGAACTCTTTCTTCAAATATTGTAGTCCTTTAAATACCAGCTCTTGAACAGGTGAACAAAATTTATGTGCAGAAGTTTGTTGTTGGGTTTGAAAGTGAATTCATTCATTAATATTTCAGAAATATTTTACACTGGAAAATAGTGTCTAGTCACAGATAACACAACTTATTAGTGACAAAGTATTTTAGACATCATACATATTAGTGTCGCGCATGTTCTCCGGTTATATTAAAAACAACATTCAACATAAAAGTTGTCTTCAATTGAACTTACAAACTACACAAGAGTCTTCTGCATCAAGTAAAAAAATCATCTTTTGCATACTATTGTTTTCTTAAAACTCAGAATAGAAAAACTTCAGAACTTCTGCAAGCCGCACATTACTTTATCCTACCGCACACATGAGAAGAAGCACGGAAACAGGAATCGCAAGGTAAAGGGTTTATACCTGCATGTAGTCTACAGACCCGTGAGGGGAAAACAGATTAGTAAAATCTCACTACTCAGAAAGCATTCAGTTATATTTGTTTTCAAACAAAAAGATATGTATAAGTTGTGTGAGTGTCTAATCATGGAAAAAGTCTAGACAGAACAGGCAGGAAGCTCAACCCACTATTATAATACGAAGGATTAAACTGCAGAAATGTAAAACATACATGTTCAACAATGCTTATTTACAAGGTTGTTATTCAAAGGTCATTGACTATTAAAATTAAGTTTATTTCACAAACCAATCTTTTTACAGGTCTTAATCCTATAAACACTGCTATTCTTGTCAACACACTGCCATATTAAGAACACACGTCCTTTTATATCAAGACTAACTTTATACTGTTTTTCCTGTTCAACTGTAATGAGGAGCATTGCTCACTTGATGACTTTGTTAGCTTCAGCAAATTAAATATGATGTATTTTGTTATAACATAGCCTTAATTCCTAAACCTAACGTGGATAAAAAAAGTTCCTAAGGAACAAACATGGTGATGCAAAGCTGTTATCTAGAAAAATCTGAACAGTTTTTGAGGACTCGGCAAACAAATAATAGGACAATTAACATCTTTCATGCTGTTAAATTTAGCTAAGAATTATGTCATGTTCTTCAGCATCAAATATTTCCCATGTTTCTGCAGCTTATGAAAACAAGAAGCCATGGGATTATAAGAAAGGCTCATTTAATATGCTTTGTAGAGACTTTGTTATCAAGAACATTAGTAACTAGAAGATCTCCAAATCATGAGCATTATCAATTTCAATAATATCTTCAGGTTCCATCTTTGCTTCATGATGCCCCTCCTGTAGATCATCCAGGGAAGCCAGAGCCTCATTCGTATCGCTAGCAAAAGTCTCACGAGATGCATCATCATATTCTTGCAGGTTAAGCCCTTTAATGGCTTTTTTCATCTTCTTTCCTAGAACTTGTATTCTCCTCTTCTTAGCAGCTTTTTTGTTTTCATACTCCTTTTGGTTTTCCAGATAGAATATTTCCTTGAAAGAAAACAAAAAACATTTGGCACATTCATTTTACTAGTGTTTCCTAAAGAAAACATACAGAAGTAAAAAAATTTTTTTATTACAAATACTGTTCCATAATATTTAACAAAGATACACATTATTGATAGTAGAAGTATGAGGACAGACTGCACTTAAGGAAAATGCCCGATAAATAATTTTATGACATAGTTTCTCAGCGATCTCAAAGTGTATGTAAATAAGTGTCCCTAAGTTTTCATTTCAAGTTTGCTGACAATACAAAACTGGGAGGAACAGGTGGTAGACCAGAGAGTTGTCCTGCCATACAGAGGGACCCGTAGAGAAAATACAACTTGAGAGAACTTTCCTCCACAATTTAAATTTGAGTCCAGGTCTCATGATCTTTACTGCCAAACATTTGTGAACCTCATTAACATCTTCTCTACCGCAAAATGTGACTGCTACACAAGTTTCCTCCATATTTCAAGGGGGAGAGTATCACGTAGCAGAGCTAAACGCTGCTACATGCCTTTCTTTCCCTGCTTATTTTTTAAAAAACATAAATTGCATACAGAAAACATTAATGCTTTTTTTTCTCCCCAAAAGCTGCAAGTCAAGTGCTAAGGATATGCAAATCTGTGAGAGTTGTATACATGACAACCTGCACCATGATAGGATTACACATACTTTTCCCACAGGTTTGTATGACAAATGATGTCTCATACCATCAATCAAGTTTGTTGAGTGAAAACTGCTGCCTCATTAAACACTTGCCGGTATCAGCAAGAGAAGAATGAGACACACAATTACAAGGGCACGGAAGAGGGGTAGAAGAGCAAATTTTTGGAAGAGGGGTAGAAGAGCAAATTATTTTTTTTTTGCAGTGGGGTAAAGTGATCAAACTTACAACTTTTTGGGACCGCTGTAAGCTATGAAAGGTTGTGGGTTTTTTGTTTTTTTAAACATAAAACAGACAATCACAGTTTATGTTGATTTGTTTCTCAATTCCCCGTACAAGATGCTAGGATGATTTACAGAGTGCACTGTAGCCACCTACAAGCAAAATAAACAAGTCTTTCTTTTAACAAAAACTTTAATAAAATGGCAAATACCATGGAAAAAACCCTAAATTGTTTTAATTGAATGAAGAAAACACCATCTCAGTCTATTTCATACCCTAAAAGGAAAGGCAATAATATTTACAAGCTGACAAAACTAATTTGGTGAGCACCACATGAGGCCAGTGAGCAATTCAGACTGGGTTCAGACCACTATCTGACTTAATGGGAAATACTGCCTGGTGCTACAGCTGGAGCTATACAGGACAAAAATATTCTATTAAGAGAACACCATTCAATCCATGCACAATGACGCAGAGTTCCAAAGGGAGAAATACAACTGCAGATAACATTGCTGTAAGGTACACACAAATTAAGAAAAATCCAATGTTTCTCTCTTCAGGCTCTACAGTCTCATCATCTTCAACAGGTTTTTGTGACTGGCAGTATGTTAAAGGTGTTCTCTCTGCCTAGTGTGAATGGCAATTAAGCAAAAAAACCACAAAAAAATTGATGATGTTTTGAATGTGAAAAGCTGGTTTCTTTGGAATATAGAGTTAAACTTGCTAGAAGTTACAAGAGATTCAATCATAACATTTCTAGTAGAAAAAACCAAAATTTACTTTGGACAATCATTTGCAGTCTTGACAATTTTACCTTGATTTGTTCTTCTTTGATGCTAGGTGTGTTCTTCAGCAGGTTTAAATAAACGCCCCCTGGTGTTCTCCTCCTAGTGCCGTTCTTAACAAGGAAAGAGTAAGTTAGTAATAGCAAGCTTAATACGTAAGCGTTGAAAATAAAAATAGCATCTAAGACAATGCTTTGTATTGAGACAGAGTAAAAAAAAAATTAAGTTCTGCTGTTAGTTATTACATAAAACATAGCCAGGGTTGGTTTTATTTGTGATTGAACTAGTCATAAGGTCAACAACCAGCTAACCAGCTTGCTACATTTGGATAGGTAAACAATAAGGTTACAAAACATTTGCTTTAGAACATAATACCAAACTGTTGAACTACATACTAAATCTGATTGTGGTAGTGAAGAAACAAAATGTGAATAGTATTCTAACTACTCTCGCAACTATCTGCAATACGTATATACTAGGTTAAATATTCAGAACATTCCTAACATATAAGCCCAGTAAACTGTCAAAAATGAATTTCACAAAATTATGTAGACTTCGGGCTTTTTTAATTGTGCTCAGCAATTCTACAACTTATCTGCATATCTGCAGGATTTTCCATTTTCATATGCCTAAGGCATATGAACACAACGTGTACTTTAAAGCTTCTCCCCACAACATATTAGTTCCATGCTTCAACAGTTTTCAGTGTAACAGCAGTGGTGCAGTGTGTCATACTGAAGCATGAACAGACTCAGCTTTGAAACCTCTGTAAATTATAAGCACTAATTATACTATTATTCAATTACCATTCATAGTATATAAAGTTGAACTGTTACTCCAGTGCTCTGATATTGTATTAAATGTGATACTTTTCTGCTAAATAACAAAGAAAAATACAATCCAAAAGTCATAAGAACTGAGAAGGTCAATTAAGTATGTTCTTGAATGAGCAGACACCACATACTTTTATCATCCTATCAGCACAAAATCCCAACCAAGAAAAACAGTATGATCTGCCTTTCAAATGGCGTACTTTGATCTGCAGCCAAAGGAACCTGTGCCACAAGGAGTTGTGTCCTTTCACCTCCTTGGTAAATACTTGTTAATGAGTACTTTAATTCTTCAAAAAAATAGACTGCTTCTAAGACAAGCGCTAGCTGGAAAGTTGTTGCTTTTTTTTTTCGGAGGGGAGGTGGTGGTGTTTTCTATTTTGTGTTGGGGGGGGGAGGGGGAGTTTGACTCTTTTTTTCCCCTTTTTTTCCTCCTCTCTACTTCCAATGATGGAACTTAAAAGATATGAATTTTAAACAGATGCCTGAAAGTACTTACTAGCTTCCTCCCACTTTTTTTTCTTCTGAACTTTTGCACTGAGGCTTTGTTATTTAACAAAAAACATACCGAGAAATTGATAACCTAACCATTAAGTATATGATTTTTACCATGATTTGTAACAGAAATCAGTACTCAGTTTTGCTCTACTGATACACAAGCCAAGGGTTCTTTAATAAAGCTAACAGATTCCCTTTTGAAAACTACTCTTCAAATGTGACATTGGAAATGCTCACTACTGAGTATGTTGACCTGTGATGGCATGTTGATTAACTCAGCAGATAGGTCAGTGCTGTCAAACATCCACCTGACTTACTGAAGAAATGTGCCAGAGGCTTCCCCTGGATCCTAACGCTACAAGCTTTTATTCAAGCTTCAGAATCCTTCACTCTTACCTCTACCAGGGGAAGATCCCAAGGGGAGGCAGAGTAACAAGATACAATGTTATCACTGTAAATCAGATACTAATCTCAGTACAAAAAGTTGGGCAATTTCCAGGTTCATTCATCTCATTGTTTACTCATATCTTGCTGGAAGATTGCATCATTATTTATTAAGCGACTTTCATGGCAAGGGAAGGCCATGAAACTCTGGAAGAACCTGTCCAACATGAAAGCTGCGCAACAGTACTATGTAAATATTCTACAAGTAAAAAGTTGTGTGTGTGTCCCCAACAAACCCACAATATCATGTTTTTCTTACCACTATGAACAGTCCACCATTTTGTTCCACTTCAGCTGTTTCCATAAGCAGTTCGATAGCTTTTCTTTTCCCAATTATTTTCACTACTCGGGCAATTAAATCTTTCTTTGGCTCACAAAGCCTTAAAGGAGGGGGAAAAAAAAAAAGACACATTTATTGTCAGTATAATTTCTTGAGTAAAATTGACCATGGAACTTCCATAATGAATAATTCATTCTGTGGGACATAAAGCTGTGCTAAAGTTAGAGAGTCTATACGTGTGAATGTGTTTCAATGGCTTCTTGAATCAGATTTCAAAATACCGAGCTTCTGAGGGATAGTTTTTTCTAAAGCATGCAGCTTTAAAATTTGTTTCAATGAAAATGCATTATTTTTCTTCTATTGATGCGTGAAAGATTAAACCAAATAAGAAACTGCAATGACCTGTATAAGTCTCTGAAATTAACGTCTGCTGTGCATTTAACAGTTAAAATTACAGCACCTTTTACAGTTAAATCAATAATTAACTGGAAACAACAGTAAGTATAAAAGTTTCCCTGTATCATGTGCCATTCAGACAAACCTACATAATAAAAAAGAAATCAGTCTGTTGAGTAATCTATGATAACCTATAAAATGCAAACAAGAAAAAAAATTTGCAATATTACTGAGTTAAATTGTATTCTTTTGTTAGCAACAATGTCCTCAAACAGAAATTTTCATTGTCAGTCTGCATGAACGGAGAGGCTTATACAGCATCAATTCACTGTGCCAAAGTATGTACTCCCACTGGAAAACATCTTGTCCTGGTTTCGGCAGGAACTCTACCCCTGCTGAAACCAGGACACATCTTAAGCCCACAAATCAATACCACTTGTCCAGAGCAAGAGTTCATATGCTAAATTGTCATTTTTTAATGGCAAAGCTTCTCATTAAGCACCATCCCAAGCACTACAGCTCAGCGGTTTTACACTTTGGGGACCAACAGACCACCATCATTACCAAAATTTCTTGAAGACCGCTGTCTAGCCTAATTGCTTCAAGTGACATTACTATGCTATAAAGTTGCATATGTTACAATGACTGCATAATAGAAGGTGTCTGACCACAGATGTGAACAACTATTTAGAACAACCAGGCTAGCTTCAACTGCTTCAACTGTATGACTGAAGTTACCTGAAATTAAATGTTAAAACTCACATTTTAGTGACAATTATCCTAATCATGAAAAGGATTACCCAACCCACCTAACTTTATACTTTGTGTTTAATCTCACTGAGTTCAATGAATAAGGCACCAGAAGGTAAATGCTTTCTTAAATATTTACAGGATTGAGTTCTAAATTGTGAATTATTGGAAGAGATGGAAATGTTTCTTGAAGATGCAGAGAACTTTAAGATAACCAGGATTCCTTAGAGAGCTGGTTAAATAGACCTTCTGTTACCAGCAGTGGCAGCTTAAACAGTCAAATCCCCACCTAGTGTTCATTCTGGCCCTGCACAATCCTCCTGCATGTGTGCTTTAACAAGCAGCTCTGCACTGCAACAGGAACTGAACAAGGTGAAGGGCAAAAAACGGCACAAGATGGTCAGAAAAACTCTTTGATTTCAGTTCACTGTGTGGGCCAGCACAACAAAAGGTTATGAATCCAGACACAGATGGCACAGCACAGGTCAAACAACAGTGCTGTGATGTGTATAACCACAATCCTACTGATGCAGTTCACTGCCACTACTATTATAAACAATTAGAAAAAAGAGGCTTCTGCCCTATTTTGATGAAGCTCAATATAACAAAGAAAAGTTTATTACAAGAGACATGCTCAAAGTTTTCAAATTCATAAATGGGAAGCTACGAAGAACTGGTAACAGCATTAATAATTGTCTAATTGCTGTACTGGCAATACTAAGTATCACATGTAAGAAATCAACAATGATCAATAAACCCAGGTTTTATTTAAAGGTCAAGCTAACTGTCAGTAAATCTTATAACTCGTTCCCTAATTAACATAATTTTCTTCCCTTGCACCACTGAAAAAGGACTGTGGCAGTTTAAGACAACCTAAGTAAGAACGACTGCACTCGTGCCCTCCCTCACACCATCAGTCCAGTGCTGCCAGTGCCAGCTCAAAGGAAGTTGTGCAGCAAATTGGTTCGGGAAACAAGTCTGTCTGCAAACTAACTCTTAAAAAAAAAGCAACAGGCTTTTGGACAGATAAGTTTTCTGACTCAGCTCAGTGTACAATAACTAAATAGCAGGACTGTGAAAAGAATTGGATTGTGGTAAGTGTGCATACGGCTGGAACTTGGTAACTCCAACACGGGCTTCCATAAATTAGCACAGAACTGCAGCTCAGTTTCACAACACAGAAAGAGGCAAGGCTTGATTTCAGTGCTGGTGTCTAACCTTGGTGCAGCCCTTGGCTACAACAGCAGCAAAACGTTTTCTTCAGACAAGCATGTTCCATGTAAAGAATATGTGTATTTCAGAAGCTGTGCTCTCCAAACCACTACACAGTCCAAAGATTTCAAAGTTTCAAAGATTTATAACTCAGCCAGATTTTCATGGTGACCACAGCAGGTGTTCATTGGTGTCCAACTCTAAACACGCATCTTTACTCATGGGGTATTTCCTAAAAAAGCTACTAAATCATTGTCATGAAAAACAGTATTTTTCCTTGCCATTGTCCTCAAATAACACAACGTTCTGGTGGATCTTTAAAAAAAGGAAAAAAAAAAAAAATCAGACAGTATTACTGGATGCTTCTACAAGATACCAGCCATAATACTGCATTTTAATCCCAGGATTTTGGAAATACACACAACACACTCATGCTTTTTGTAATCTGGTATGACATCTTACATATTTAGCAGTAAGAAAGCTTTTTTCCCTCCTCTTCTTTTCCATCAACAGTTTACCAATACTTAAGTAAGTGAAGATACACTGTTATTAAACTCACCGATAAGCAATTTCATCTGCCACTTTTTCCTCTGAATCTTCTTCTGTTATCTCATACCTTCCTTTATATTTCATTTCTTGTCTTTCACCCAGTCTATCTTTTACAGGCCGCTTCCTTTTGAGAAAGCCTTGCCCATTTTCTTCTTCTGCTGGCAATGTTTTCTTGTCATCGTGCATGTATTCATCCAGTTCCTTATCTAAAGTCTCTGCCTCCTTTTGCTGAGCTTCCTTCATCAGCTTTTTAGCCAATAAATAATTGTAAGTCTCAGACTGCCTACTTCTGTCAATACTACCATCCATGCCTAGAATCCCAAGTTCAGTAGCCACCGCATCCTGATTCTGCTCCTGGAGCACGACACCCCAAATGTTGTTGACCTTCTTGCCACCTAGAGCAGTTTGTTTTTGGTGGCTCTGGCTAAGCTGAAAAGGCTCAGATTTAGCAGGAGGAAAGTTGAAACATTTCTGTCGTTTTCGTTTCCACAGACAGCTGTCATCATCAGATTCAGAAAAGCTTTCATCACTTGAATCCACACTTTTGGTTGTCCGATAAGGAACACTTGGTGCACATGATGAAATGCTGCTCTGGAACGGTCTGCCTGAATCATTGCCATCATGCAATTTCTGAAATGGAAAAGTACATGTCCGTTAATTTAATTACTCTTGTAAATTAAAAGAGCTATCAAGTCACACCAAAGATTTGATTAGCTAGAAAACTTAATTCTGACTCATGTGACAGTTTGGGCAGTCCTCTATGAGCATCTTTTGAACTACAGTTGATAGGAACATCCTATGAAACTTCTGTATTTTGAATGCTTGTATATGAAAGACAGCATGGCTGCTATAGAAAACACATATTAAGAGTCGCTAATCTACTTAATGTAATCTTTGCTGAATGAAATTAAAATTATTATGAGACTGGAAAAGCTATCAAAATTCCCAAGTCTGACAAAGACACAACATGCACAGCAGTTCTAAGAAAGATTAAAAAAACAAACCACCACGGCAACTTAGCAGAAGTTTTTTTAACCGGATAGAAATTAATATTCTCTCCCAAGTCTGAAAGGGGTCAAGACTAGTGATCTGCAACCACAATAGTGTTCCCAGACTCAAGTGAGAAGAAAAAAAAAAGACCAAAAACCCCAAAACCAAACCCACAAAACTTGGATGCTGCTCAGACTTTGAGAAGCTAACAGTGTATTGTGATTCTGGTTCAATCAGGACAGCACATGACCAGCTGGGGACAGTAATACCTTACAGAAGAACTGGGGTTTTCTGCCTTTAAACCTACAAGACACCACAGACTCACTATGGCTTGCTATTAATTAGGACAAAAACCCTAAAGGTTTCAACATACTTTACAAAAAAAAGTCCCATTGCTACAGAAAAATTAAAGAAACTCTGTTGTCTCATACACCTGTCAGATAAACCAAAATATGAAAGCCAAACCTGCTCAAACTTGCATAACCTGCGAAAGCACCATGGGTAACTTAACCCAGAATTCTTATTCTCAGTTGCTAGAAACTTTTGGCTACACTGTACTAACCTGCAGTAAGCATTTTCCTTACTCATAATTCCAGTTTTTCCCTAACTGATTTCCTATCACAAAGTTATACGTTATCCCGTGTTCTTTAAAAATAAGATCTCTTCCTTCAGTTTCAGATGAAATAAAAATTCTTTCTTTAACCTTACTGCTTTCACCAACATTATGGCACCATTTCTTCTTCCTCCTATTAGCAAACAGAAAACAGAAGCTTTCAACTTATTTTATCACGTTATGAAACACAAACCTTTAATTTAAAATGTATTCCATATGGCAAAACACTAACAGCTCCATAAATTAAAAAAAAATCTCACATCTGTAATATTTTGGGCTACACATCCCAGAACTATATTGCAAATAAATCAAAGTAACTAAAGAAAATAAAAATCCTTACACATACAGTGTCATACACTGATTTATCTCATTTTGAAATCTTTTCCTGCCCACACACCACCATAAATTCCTCATAAACTTCATAACACACTGTAACGTGAAAACAATACGAGCCACTTGGAAATAAATAACATCTCTTCAGCACTTCACGGATGCAAAAGAGTTGCAATGTCAAAGGAAAGCAGTAATCGCCACTCATTGCTTTCATGCGGTTTTACAACGGCTTGCTTCTATTGTTCTTGAAGCGACCAACGGTACCGGTGAGCACTCTCCTTTGCTCACCAAACCCAGCGCCCAGCAACAACAAAAGCCTCTCCCGCCCCGCGACAGCATGCGGTTTTCCCAGATGAACGGGCACCGGAGGAACAAGCTGGTTCCCGGGACCAGGGCACGGGGAAAGCAGTCACCCCAGGGGAAGGGCCCCCTGACCCAGCCACCCGGGCGGTAGCGGGGCACCCCCTTCCGCAGGCGC